GTTGTTTTAAAGTTTAGCAACAATGAAAACATCATAGTGAATTCTGATAACACATATTTAATTGCCACTACATTAAGAGAACCTAATCTTTAATAAGGTCAGTTTTAAATACTGCTATTGAAAATCTTTCTGAAAACTTCTGGTATACACTTTTCAGATTTAATAAGGATAGAACTTTTAAGCATAACTTACTCTTTAAAATTCTAATGAGGAAGAAAGAGAGCAGAGCAGCCAGAGAGGCCTGGAACGGGGAACCAGCCGGTATTATGGCAAGGCTGCGAGGGATTGGAGTGGGCCTGGTGTGGCAGGCCCTGGGTAGGCTCTCATGCAGACTTTTGAAGCAGCCCCTGAATGAGGCGCCCTTTCTTAGGGTTGCCCACCAGCCAGCTAGCTATCCTCCAAAAACAATCAGAGATCTTCCCAGAGCATAGATCTGGACAACATCCGTGTGTTTCCCTTGGCCCACGAAGTAACCTCTTTCCTCAGCACGTCTCCCTGTTAGGCTCCTCCGGTCTCAGTCCATATGGCCAGGTGGGATTCTTCATGGTTCCCCAAATACCGTCCCCCCCCCATCTCTGGACATTCACTGCCTTCCTCTATGCTCACTCCTCATGGCACCTTCTTCCACACTCAGAATTAATCATTCTCTTTTCACTGGACAGTCTTTACACCACTCTGTTAAATGTCTACTGCAGGGCCCCCTAGCTAGGAACAATCCACTAAAAATCTCATATTTCCCCCAAACCTGGCCAAAAATAACAAAAAAGTTTAGTGTTCCTCAAACAGACTCTCCTTATTCAACTTTACGTGCCTGGTGTCTACTTGCAGGCTTAGAATGCATGCTGGACACTCAACACAAAGTGTCCCTGGCCAGGACTGAGTCATCATTTCTGCATTTTGAAAGTTCAAATCTTTACTCAGAGAAGCAGTAGACAAAACCGGAGAGGTCTGCTGCACCACGTATGCTGGTTCCCTGGCTCGGGATCCAACTCATGCTGCTGTAGCTGGTGAGAGCTTGACAGTACTGAGACTACAAGCACTGCATCACCAGGGAGGTCCCCCAAAATGCAGATTTTAAGAGTAATTTGACGATGTTGAAAATGGTATATACCCACACATCCCCAATATCAAGATGACAATTTCTATTACTCTAGAAAAATTACTGCTCACCAGACATCTCTTGTGATTCAGTCTGCCTATTATAAAATTTCACATAAATGTATTTTTTATCATGTAAAAAAAAGAAAGTTCGAATCTTTGTGGAAATGTTAAAACTTTTACAAAAACAGTTTTTTTTTTTAAATAAAGAATTAAAATTAAGGTCAATAAATTGTGGGCTTATCTGAGCCCACAGAAGCACTTTGAGAACGACTGTTATTAGCAGAAGCATAAGACTGACCTTTGGAACTTATTCTAACTGATTTTCAAGAGTGTGCTTTTGTAGCTAGGATGACTCATCTGTAACTGTGAGGTGAATGGCCACTCTCATTCTTGAGCCTGTTTTCCTCAGAGGAGTATGGTAGAACAGGCTTCTGAATGTAGAAAAATATTAAATTTTCAATGGGACACTCTGTCCTGTCAAGGCTGGAGGGACAGTTGAGAGGCAGTCTCCTTGTCCTTCTGCCTCAGCAATGTGGTTTTACAAACCTTATTCAATGGAACTGCCAAAGAGGCCATTGCAAAGAATGAGAGAGGGTGAGCTTCAATTAAAACAGCTTTCACTTGTCTACACACTGAAGGTTTCAAGTAAGACTCCTATCTCAAATATGAACATTGATGCTTAAAACAGACTGAAAATCCCTGATCTAAATATTCTACTATATCCTCTCTTGGGAAATGGAGAGTGGCTTACAGGTATGAGGCTTGCATGCACACTATACCTGGCAGTGGTCCCAATTCTGAGTAACCCACTTTTCGTACTGCAAGGAAGAACACGGAAATGCAAACTTGGCTTCAATTTTCACCAAAGAGCCAAAGACCTCTGTCCACCTCAGACATTTGCAGTCCTTTAATTTCTAAGCATGCGGAGAAGGAAAGGGCAGCCTGGCTGAGGCAGTGCCTGCAGGGACAGTCCCAAGTTGGCCGGCATGTCTACCGGAGGGCTTGTTACACTGCAGGCAAAGCATAGCACCTCTTGTAAGCCTGACAACCTCCTGCTCTGTCCACCATCACTCAGAAGTTATTGTCTCATGGGATGACTTCAACTTTCTGTAGAAAGTTTAGCTCATTAGTTCGTGTGGGAAGCCAAGATATGGCTGTCAGCTTGACCCCACAACACACTCAGTGAAATGCTTGATCCTGCCTCCCACAAATGTCCTGGGCAAACCCAGAGTTGAACAAGGAAGTGTGGATGGAGCAGTGAGATCCCTTACCTATGGGGTCAACAAATCTGGTCTATTTCCTGATAGAGGCTCATTAGCAAGGTCAAGAGGAGTATCTTCAGGATAAAATGGACGTGGATGGAGGCTGCAGAGCTGCTAGGCAGGTGGCAATCAGCCTTAGTCTCCAGTACTGTCCTCATGCTCTCAGAGCGTGGAAACACATCATCCGAGTTTCTTATGATCATCCCACTGTCTATCCCAATTTGAGACCACGTTGAACACGTGGTTTAAAAGCCACCTTACTTCTAAGATTCAGGTGTCTAATGAAGGGCTGGCAGCCAGGCCTACCTGCAATTTCCAGGGCATGAGAGTGGGTGCAGGTCACCTACAGTGCATGCTGGGGAGAGCCCTCTGCACTTCCTAGGATGAAGCCATCCTAGGAAGAAGCGATTTGGGATACACAAATTTCCAAGTTCAAACTGTGATTTCATTCCTTACTAGGCTGGGTAACATAGCAATCAATTCAATTCCTTGAGCCTTGGTTTCCTAAATACTAATCATCAAAATCTGGAACAGTGGAATATACTTCAGAGTGAGTGTACGTGAAAGGACATGGAAGAGGCTCGCCTACCTCAATTCCTTGTCTTTCAGGCACAGAACTCCACCCAGGGTCCTCCTTCCACCTTTCACTTCAGCTTTCCTGTAATCTTATCCAGCAGTGCCCAGTCTTTCCCCTCCCCAGTTTGCATGCCAGGCTGTTACAGGGAATTGGCAGTTAACTGTCCCTCAAGAGGAGTGCTAGGCCTAGAACGCTCAATTGGTATCAGGTGATAGGAAAAGACTACAGAAATCTATAGAAAGAGATTCAAGGTGGAAGGGATTGAAGGAACCTCAGGAAGATGGAGGTGGTTTCTGAAGCCGAAATGCTATGCTGCTGCCTTATTTCACCTTCTCTCCCTCCTTCCTGCTTACCCCAATGGAGAGAGGGTCAGTCGAGGTGAGGGGGTGGGAGGTGACAGTAGAGTCTTCTTTTACAAAGTTGTATGTGTGAGGGAGCATATACAATACGACGACAACACTGTTTCACTGAGGAAGAGTCTTAAAATTACCGCATGAGGAAAAAGTGTTTCCTGCATCCCTTAGGGGGTGAGGGAGTGTCCTTGTGACCTAGAGAGTTTCAGTCCAGGGCTGCAGGCCTCTGAGTCTATAGGAACCATCTAACAGTGCAGAAATAGGCCAGTTCGCAACATTGCAGATGGAAACGCAAGATTGATGCCTGTCAACCTCCTTGTACATCATTAATTCGTTAGCTCAGAGAAACTAGAAACAGAGTCAGAATTGAGCAAACACTGGGGTAGTTACATCCACATAGAGAGGACTGCACCTTTGGTTAAAAAGCAGGATCTACGAAGTTATCTTAGTCTTCCAACTGCTCAGCCAGTGCAGCTAAAAGCCAGCCACCATCAGCCACACGTGCTAGCGAGCCAGCATGCCGCCCACTGCAAAGGGCACCCCAAATGCTCCTTCCTGTTGCTACTCTTATTCCACAGCCAGTCTTGTTTATATGGGGGGAAAAAAAAAGAGCTGGGCAACTTTGGGGAGGGACCCAGTATTCAAATACTCAGTGCTGTGGAGTCATACTTCGTTCTTTGAAGAAAACCTGAAGTGTCCTTATCATATGGGGAAAATTAGAACAGAACAACCACAGCCAAAAAGAAAAAAACAAAAACAAAAAATGACATATAGGAAAGGCAACAATATGGGTTACAAATTCATTATGATTATAAAGTATATCTCCCCCAAGCCAAGCACAGTCCCCTTGCATTTCTAAAATAAAGCATCATGAGGGAAGAAAAGTCATGTGTGCTTTACTGAAAATTCTGGGAGAGGAGAAAATAGAAAGAAATTGCATTAAAAAAAAAATTTGTCCATGCCTCCATTTGTGCCAGAAATGTAATTTAAGGTACTGGAAAATAAGGCACATGTAAAAAAAAAATTAGGTGAACTCATGTATAAATGGAACTGCAAACAAGGACTGACCAAGAGTGGAAGTTCCCATCTCTTTAAGATCCACCTTTTGCTAATAAAGGCCACACCTCAAATTTCTCTTTTAATAAATTAAAAAGGCAAGATTAAGCAATGTGAAAGAAATCAGGTGGAAAATATTCTTTGATGGAAGAACACATGAAAAAAAATGGAAAAAAAGATGCAGTTTTCATACATATTCTAAAAATATATAAAAAATACAAATTAAAATAACTTTTCTAAATATTTCTAAAAGTGATTTTATGGTGATCACTGTGGAAGTGATTCTTTTAAAATAATTTGTGTGTCTGGATTTTTTCCCCATTTCTATCTCAGGGTTGCTTAGTGGGTACTTAAAGGTTAAAATATATCATGTTTCTGTGCTGAAAAGTTATAAAGACCAGCTCTCTGCTGCATTTGCATTGTTATTAGGGACACACACACAGACATACACACACTCACACACGCACACATCCAGCTTAATGTGAGGCTAGTACAGAAACAGAGAGATTAGACACAAAGAAATGTAAACAGCTCTCACATGCGAGGAAACTAGGTTACAAGAATCCCAGCACCAGGCATTCACCAGTCACCATGGAAAACAGGAAGTGAGATGCATAGCAACCACAAGCCAAAAAGCAGGAAAGCGCATACCTTTAGCTTGGAATGAAAATCACGAGATTTCCTTCTGGCAAGAACCTGAATGTGACTAGACACCTGCAGGGTAGGGGAAGGGAGGAAAACAAAGGAAAAGCCTGTAACCATGGAGATGAAAAGCCCCCTACAACTGGGCAAGCCAGACGTACCTTAATGGCGGCTTGAATTTCTCGAACTTTCTTTCTTGCTAAGACCTGTATATGACTAGACACCTACATTGTTCGGGTTTATGAAGGGAAACAAAACAAAACAAAACAAAACAAAAAAAAGGAAATCAAATATAAAATCGCTACTCTTTGGGAGGGTTGGGGGGGAAGGGTGGGGGAAGGTTATTTGCATCTCAACAAAGCTCTGCAGTTAGGAGTACAGTCCCAGCCAGACCAAGCCCCCAGCGCAGCTCTAAGCTTTCAGACTGGGTCACCACTGCAGTGACTGGGGTCCCGAGCGAAGTTCAGGCTACTCTTAGTTTTCTCACCCGGGAGCAACACGGGCATGGGATGAGAGGGAGAGAGTGGGGTTGTTTTCTTTATAAAATTTATAAGGTTGGGGTATAGGTAAATGAAAATATTTATAGCTTCTCAGTATCAGGAGGGAAAATCCCTTTTTTCTCAATTTAGAAGAGATTATCCATAAATTAGCACATTCTATGGCATCAAAAAGCTGAAGCTGTCGGTTATATTCTGATCTCATTAAGAGCTCTGGATTCTGTAGCAAATGTTAAAATAATACTGACATGTAAATTAGATCTCAAAGAGAAATGGAAAGACCCAGTTAGCAGAGCATTTTTTTTTGTGCCCTTATAAATATCACTAATCCTTCTACTCTTTTGGGTATTGACTGGGCGCCAAGTGGATTTGCATATTATTACAAAGCGAAAAGTGTGAATGCAGCCAGCCAGCCATCCTGTTAAAAATCTGGGTTGAAAAACCACACGGATTTGCTGAACAACAAATTCACATTGGAGAGGTATCACCAACTGCTGCCTGAACCGTCCCCAAGATGCCGGGGTGCAGAAATCACGCCAAGCCCAATTTCAAACACAATGATTCTACTGGATAAATACATTTGCATCTCTTTCAGCAGGACTGGCTAGATTTACAGTCACCGAGTCCCCCAGTAAAGGGCATGTGACCAGCGCTCCAGAACCGCACACAGCCAGGTCCGGCACTTTTCAGTTTGGTGGGAATTAATCTGTTTGTTTGAGACTCAGTACCTCCCATTTAAAAGTTCAGCAGCTCAGCCTTCAAGGCACTTACTTATTTTCAAACACTCTAGAAAATCTAGAAACAAATTTATGATGATAAAAGATCTTTTATCTTTAACTTTATCACTGAGTTGCAATTATTCTGGTGGGCTTTTCTACCCCACAATTTGCGTTAGTGATCTTTTCTTTTCCTAAAGTATGGAGAAGCAGGAACTCCCCCATCCTCTTCACCCCTCCATCCAACTCCTGCTTTTGTTTGTTTTCACCAGAATTTTGTCCTTAGGTGATTCTCAGACTTGATGAAGGCCATTGTTGGGGTGGTATCCCCCAAGGGTCAATTCCCTCCTCTGAACCTGGCTGGAGGCCACTCGCCTCAGTGCTGACTCCAGGCTCAGGCATCAGGTGCACCGCTGGGACAACGCTCCTCTCCATCATAACACTCAGCCCTGAGCAGAGAACTGGAATCCACTGCTCGGGCATAACAGGACCTCAGATGAGCTTGCCTTGTGGCATGGTTATAGTTTTTTAAAGTCCATGCCAGATCAATCAGCATAAAGTCAATGTTAAAAAAATATATACATATATATATATATATATATATATTTTTTTTTTTTCCTGTGAACGCATCCATGAGGTTTGACTTTGTTCCCCCTTTCCCTTTCTTTCTTTTTCCTTAGTTTCTTTCCCTGGCTTTAGTTAGACAATTGAGTTTGATAATTTCTCTGTCTAGTCCAGTTCTGAACTGGGTCAGAGACTTGGGCTACTTTGCATCAGAAAGAATAAGGAAAGCCAGAGCCCTGAGTCAGGGCAGAGAAGAATCCTGATGCCATTCTGCCCAGAGGTATTAAGTGGTAACATCATTTCAGTCACAGCAGCTACTGACAAAAGCCATAGCTTAAGGAGCAGCAGTTCCCTGAACGCACATCATTCAGTATCATATTCAGGCCAATACTCACGGCTGCTAGTGTTACTTTTTCATTGAAATGATGACTCATGTGTAGTTGTTCCAGAATTTTACATCACATAAAATCTCAAAATCGCATGACTTGCAAGTATATTTGCACCTGCAGCTTTTGTACTGTTTGCAGATGCACAGTTTGGGAAAGAAATACAAGTTTTAAAATGCAGCACTGGAGCAGTTCATACGCTGTCCTTAGAAGAGAAACTTTCCCATATGTGTATATAAAGAACTGAGACCACATAATAATGGTCACTGAAATGATGAATGCTGCTGAGACTGAGCCAATTTCAAACACCTGCAACACTGACGTCCTTACAGGGAACTCAAGTTGGGGGCTCCGAGGAGCCAAAGCACAGCCAGCCACTGCAGCCAAAATGCCTCGGTGGGCCATTCGCTGACATGCACAACTCCCAGGTAAGCTATTTTACCTGCTTTCTGGTCCGTGTCTTTCCTGTCCTGAGTTTGATGTATCTGGCTATCAATTCATTCCTACCTGAAAGAAAGAAGAATTTACATTAAGCTAAGTTGCTTTAAAAAAAAAAAAAGACTCTGAAAGCTGAAAAATGAATTGAGAATCAAGAATTTTTAAGTTGCATCTTTTAAGTCTATTAAGGTCAGAAAAAAGAGACAGCAAAACTGTTTGCAAAAATATTTACAGGTGACACTAGAAAGAATTTGTATGGGAATACATGACTTCTCCCATCCAGGTTTCTCGTCACTATTCAGTCCCATTAGAATCAGATACAAGAGTATGAACTGTTGTGGTCACCGAAAATCTTACATACAATAAGCTAACATGAAAGCAGATGACCCCTATAAGTAGACACAAATTACACACAGAACAAATCAGCTAAACCAAAACAAAACAAAACAGAAAAACTAGACTCCTCTCCTCCAAACTACATATTCTTTGTGGGAAGAAAATACCTAAAAGCATAAATAAATCCCTCCCATTCCTACTGCTAGCAGGAGATTGCAAAAAGTTTCAAAATAGAGTACCTTAATTTCAAAGACATAATATACTAGATGCTTATCCCCAAAGGGAAATGGGAAAATATATTACTAAGATACTATGTGAAATAAAAACTCATTCATACAAGACATTGTGTTCAAATGGCAGCCACCGTCATAACTGTAGGGCTAGGTGTGCAATCGCTGGGTGGTCTCACTTCTCAGACATACTGCACAGTTGAGAGGACAAGAACTTTGTCTTGGCTCCCAAAGTCTCCCAGCATCCAGCACACTTACTAGGCACGCAGAAAGAATAAATGAGAAAGCAATGCAGCCTCAGAGAAGGAGGGGGGCCCCCTCCTCAGATGTCACCTGGCTAAGTAAAAGAAACCGGGCAGCATCAATAAGGACCAACACCATAGCGTCCTTATGTAAAGACACCTGGTCTGAGAATTCTAAAGCCATTGCCACCTCAGCTTAGCAGGCTCTGTCCACCACCTGCCTGTTAGGATAATGCAGGACACCGTCAGCACGGGAGAAAAAGGGACTGTGGAATCTGGGGCTCTGAAGTACCTGTGAGTCATGCAGCCCCACCTCCCAAACACTACATCCTTATAAGCCTAAACCACTGAGAATTAAGGAAGCAGTTTGGTTCTACCTTAAGGCATATGCAAGAATTAAAGATCCCCCCTTTTTGAGAGGTCTTGTAATTGTCACCCCTAGATGATGCCTTTTCCTCTTAACAAGGGTCGGCTGGCCCTTTATGTGCACGGCTGTCTCTCAGCTATTAGACACAGCTTTCAGGTTCTCTTGCCTGCAGTTATACCGGAGCTACACCTCCCCAATTCCTTTGTTATCTGTGGCCAGCTTTGGAACACCCCACATCCACCCTGTGGCTATCCTTTGTCTCCTTTTCTTTCACAGCTGTCAGCCCAGAACTGTACTGATGCTCTGGCTATGACAGGTCCCCAGCACAGCCACCCTATCACCTTCCTCATCCTAACTCTCTACCTCTACTTCGGCGGCCTAACACAGCATTTGATTTTGGGAGACCACAATAAACTACTGATTTATAACACCTTGAACTCTCAGGTCTTCTCCTTTCCGCAGTTACTCAGACACATGCCTCCCCAACCCCCAGTCCTTTCATACATAGTTGGGATTTTCAGATCCAAATACAGAATCTTACACTTATTTCTATTGCGTTTTATCCTGTTAAATGAAACCTATCACTCCAACCTGTCAGGATCTTCTCATATCCTGATTCTATGGTTGAACTTACCCATTAACCACAGGAGAAGGACCTCTAAATTCAGTTTTGAGGATTGCTTTTCTAAGCATTCCTTTCAAACTTTTGAGAACTACCAATATCCCCTGTAGTGTCATCGGGTCTACTTTTCTATCTCTCAGATGGTTGTACAGGTTTTGCAATTTGTCTCAAACGCTCGCTAACAGCAGAGCCCGGCTAGGAGTGCCTAATTACCAGAAGCCAGACCGAAATGACGACGTCTGCAGACAAGCCAAGCATCCTCCAGCTCCCGGCCTCACTATGCACCCTGCTCAGGGCTGTCTGAGTGGCCAAGACAAAATAAATCCAAGGCTCTGTATTACATGCAATTTCATCTGAACCTTGTCCAGATGGCAAAAAATGTCTGCTGTCCCATACTTGCTTATTTTCTGCGAATGCAGACAGAATAGCTTGATATGTGTGTGACACATAACTAGCTTTAAATTTCTTGTGGCATTTTGCTGAATGGATGAGATCACTATCCAGGGCAACCACATTTGACTGCATACCCTGTGGTCTTGCAAATGCCCTCCCACCACCCCCTTGGAATTAAACAATGTTAACTTACACTTGATAGAAGTACTTCTAATATTTACCTCTACAACTGTCCTCAATGAGCATTTACTGTATATTCAATACTAATTCTAACCTATAGTCATCATTTCATTGAAAATTTACCATATATCCTTATTCTTTGCATGAGCAAGATCACCTTTCAAAAGTCAGACTTCTTTCTTTCCTAGCATGTTTCCAACCACGAATAATAATTAACTGAAGTTCCTCTGAAGTTCTGAAGTTCTTCTTGCCAAAGGAATATTGCTAACTGAAATTTTAAATTCAAAGTCAACTAACACTAAGCATCACTGTGACCTAAACACATTAATCACTTTATTTCAGGTGAGTTTTTAAAAATGACTTTAGGGTGGTTTTGTGCACAGAAAGCATTATATAGGTTTACCCGGTTTTTAAAATGTAGGCTTCATTTAGTTTTTTAAAAACTTAGTTTTAGGGCCCTCCCTGGTGGTGAAACGGGTAAGGACGAAGCACTGCAAGCTAGCAGCGGTGCTCCAGTGTGAGTTCGATCCCCCGCCCTGGAGGTGACCCACAAAGCGGGGCAGACCTCTCCTGACCTGCCTGTTGCTCCCCTCAGCAGTGTGCTTCATCAGTCTGCCTGTTCTGCTCCCTACTCTGTCTCTGGTGAATCCCTCTCACTGCCCCTGTACCTCTGGCCTGGACCCCAGTTCTGCATGCATAAGTAAATAAATAAATCTTTTTAAAAATTACTCCTTAAAAAAAATAGCTTAGTTTTAAGTTCTACTTATATATCTCACAGTTTTTACAGTCACTTTCAAAGGGCTATTGGATTAATGGGTAATTCATGTTAAAAATCAATTAAGTTCCTTTAAATATTTAGAACTATGCATTTAATTTAGAATGTATTTGTTTTCTAAAATTTTAGAATTGCTTATCTTATAAAACCCCACCTTAAAACAGCTCTAAGAAACCTATTAAATTGTTTTAGGCCCTCCCTGGTGGCACAGCGGGTTAAAGCACAGCACTAAGAAACTTAAGCCACTTCCGCATGAGTTCGATCCCCGCCTGCCCCGGAGGTGATCACATGGCGTGGCAGACCTCTCCTGACCCACCCGCTGCTCCCCTCGGCAGTGTACGTAGACAGTCTGCCTGTTCTGCTCCCCGCCATGTCTCTGGTGAATCCTCTCACCCTCCGCATCTCTGGCCTGTACCCCAGTTCTATATGAATAAATAAATAAATCTTTAAAAAACAAACAAAAAAAGAAACCTATTAAATTGTTTTAAATGCTACAAATCTAGTAAGCATCAAATCTAAATCTTCACTGTGTACTTAATTTGGAAATGGAAATGCACTCTAACCTGTTGCATGGACCAACTTATTTTAGATAAATGTTTTAAGTATCAAATATGTGTAAATCCTTTAAATAAAATCACATGCCTTTGATTCTATTAAATGTTTTTGTTTCAATCTGTATCTTCCCCAAATTAAAACATGATTTCAGAACCTCTTTTTGGCTGCTTAGGACTGTTTGCATTCTGGAGACATCAGCCAGCCTCTAGATGAATTTTTGTCAGAGGCCCTGATCAGACTTCTCTACCCTTATTTGCATTTCATAGCACTGCCCTCCATATGGGGGGACCCTGGCTTTGAACTGTGGCATCATGGTACACAGGTCCCTTGCTAAGGGCTGGGAGCTGAGCAGCTGAGAGCTGAGCAGCAATCACTGAGGTAGCCAACAGTGCCTGGTGGCCCTCACAGCAGACTTGTTTTACAGCCATGATCAGAATATTCATGTTAACTCTGATTTTCCTAGACTTCTCTTCCAAAACACACACACACACACACACACACACACCACACTCTTGATCCAGTGAATCTTAAGTAATGACTTTGGACAAAGGTAACTCTAGTTAAACATGACACCCTAAAAATAAACCTGAAATCTCTCCTCTTTGTATGTTGCCTGCCTGGTGCCTTGGGGTATGCAGAGGAGACAGTACTCCTGTCTATAAGAAGTTCAGTCCAGCATGAAAGCTAAGAGAAGTGAACAAATCAGCTCTACAAAGCTAAGTTAATTCCAAATAACTCAGGAAATCTAGAATGCTACTCCCAAAGTCCTGAAACATAAACTAGGCTTTTAAGGGATTATTGCATTTCCCCCAACATTTTAAGAAATTTCATACAGACAAGTTTGTTACACTATATATCCCCCCACTAAGATTCTACTGTCCTATTCCATGCTGTATCATGCCTTTCCAATCTGTTAATTCCTCCACCTATTCACCAAACCCTCTTATTTTGTTGTTGTTGCCAATTCAAAATAAATGGGAGGTATGGTAACACCTCTCTAACTACCTCTATGTGCACAGCATTAACTATAAAGCTAAGACTGATTTCGACAGCAGAATGGAAGGTCACTGGAGACCACTCAAGATAGAGGTATGGTCTTTAATTTCTTTAGGCACATTTCTTTAAAATACTTAAGCAGAAAACTGGGACTCTTTGTAAAACCATACCAGCTGGCTGGCCTGCAAACCCCAGAAGCACTGCACAATTTCTTCCCAAGTCCAGGAATCTCCAGGTTCCACACGCACAGCAGCCACAGCCCTCAAGACTCCCTCTGCTCTACAACTATGTGTAATAGCTTATAGAGCTGAGTGGTAATGCCACACCTCACCTCTAAGTGTCCTTGTACTGGAGAGTCTCTGCAGCATGAAAC